AAACAACGATGAACATGACACCTGTTGCATAGACATACGTACTTAGATTTTTAAACATTTATCAATAACCGTTGTTGTTGTTGTTGTCACCCTACTATTACCGAATAAATTTTCTACATTCAAATCAGTTTTTTTTTGTAAGAAATTCATAAATGTGCCGAGTTTCATAAATATTCTTATTATCTACCGAAACTTTTGAAAGAAAATCTACTCGAATGTCACTCACTGATTCATGTAAATATATCGATCTCACTACTGCATCTTTCTATTAGTCTTCCAACTCTGCACAAATGCATAAAAATATTTGTCTGTAAGATCTCTTAATCAGAAGTTCTGATTTCGAGTTTATGCAAATACTGTATGAGTAATAAGCATTACTACAAAAGGTGGAGAAAAATATTTTACAGGATAGATTTGTATTCTTAAGAGATCGAATCGTCATGAATCAATACACGTTCGACAATTTGGTCAGCTCCTTGAAGAAAAATAATTTTTCTGATTATTAGATGGATACGATTAAAATAACTATAGACACTGCTGGAGAAGTATTAGCATCACAGGTGGCACAATTGCTGAAATTTCTTTCTTTCGATGATGATAAACTTGAAGTGGCAAAAACGACGTATAGTTATACGATCAATTCAGTTTCTTATGGTACTATTGTTGGCGCAACATTTTCATTCAGTGATACAAAAGCCAAATTAAATGAATATATTCATCACTATTGGTGAATTCATTTATTTACTTCTTAATATTTTTGTAAAATAATCTAGATTTTCTATTTAACCTTGAAAAATAAATATTTAAAGAAAGAATGAACTGAACTAGGGAAGAAATTGAAGTACCAGTTGATGAAGCGTTTCAAGCATCAAACGAAAAGAGAGTATTGACCTCTCTAATATGTCAATGGTATGGACAGATCAATCAGGCACACTACCTTTTGTGCAAGGTAATTTAATAACTACAGTGACCATTGAGACAGAGAAGGAGATGAAACGACTTCAGAAGTCTTACTTCTTTTCTTTTTATACGAAAACATATATAGAATGGAACTTGAAGATTGTTATAGAGCTTTTCATGTTACGTTAGAAGCTTATTATTCTTCTATTGTACTCATATCCCTAATTCACAGTCACATGCCGTTCGTTTGATTCTTTTACCATGCATCATAATATCTTCCAACATCAATATCATTTCTTCCAGCTTACCCCTTCTTGGGATGTTCCAGCAAACGAAAAAGACAAACATAAAGGAAAGAGCAAGTGAGTAATAAACCCCCCCTCATATTAGAAGCCCCCCTGGGCTTCTAAAGTATCCAGCATAAAAATTTTTTGGAGGGGGCTTCTATTATGTCCTATGATTTTTCGAAGGTTTTAGGTACTAAAGTTTTTCAAATGCTTTAATAGGATTTTCAGGGTTTTTTACAGATTTTTGAGGGTTTTGAAGAAGTTTTTGAGATTTTAATACGGTTAACTAAGAATTTAACACATTTTTACCTTAAAATTTTGTAATTTTTTAAGTTTTGCTGTGAAAATACTAAAAAATGTTTTCAAAAAACTCTCAAAAAGTTTTTAAAATAAGGGGGCTTCTAATATGTCTGGCATATCGAATCCTCCAGAGGGGGCTTCTAATACGGGGGGGCTTCTGATATGGGATGGGCTTCTATTATGGGAGGGGGTTTAGTCCTCGCGGATCTCCAATGTATCGTACTGTGAGATTCCATACTTCACTAGTACCTGATGATACAGCTTAAGAACGTGTGACTCGAGTGACCGAGCTCGCCTACTGCCAAGCATGCGCAGAAAATATACGACATCGAGTAATCCATTTGCACGACAACAAGTCTGCCAATCCAAGAGTACTAAACGATGCGGCTGATCACACCGCACCAGCACATTGTTGATCCAAAAGTCTCCATGCGAAAGACTGTATCGTTTGCTGCTAAGTGTGTGAAAGAGATGCGGAATGTGTGCGCAAAGTGCCTTCGCGTATGCATACGCTTTGGGTGATAGCTTAGATTCAAGTAGCTTCGCATAATCCTTGTCGGTCATCTCACGTGCATACGTGGTTTGGTAGTATGTGAGCATCGCGTTCAGTGATGGTAATCATGTGAACGCTTTGTTCAACAGTAATGGATGCTCGAAGAATTCGGCATGTAGAGTCGCAATGGTAGCCACGGCAGAAAATACAGTTGAATCATTGAGCCATTGTTTCTGACCCAATGTCTCGCAGTTCGAAGAGAGATCTTCAAGAAGCAACAGAGTCTCTTTAGAAGTACTGGAATATCGAGCGGCATAGTAGCATCGTGGAATCTCGACGTGAGAGATGCGCGGCGCGAGATTCAAGTAAAAGTCTGGTTCAGTCGAAGCAACACGTCCATTCCAAATACCGGTCGATAATTTCAGTACCATAGATTGTGGCAGGCTGTCGTTAGGAGAAGGTGAGTACTGAATGTTGTAAAGACGATGCAGAGGTCCACCCCAACCCTTACCTATGCCGATTCGTTCCGTCATGAAGGAAATCACATTAACTAAAATATCAGACGATTCAGACAGCATATGTGAGAGTAGCTCAGGCGTTAAGTCGTCGATTCGATGAGAAAATATCGGCATAGACAATATCTTCACGGGCAACGCATCTTCACGCGCACGCCAGAGATGATGTTGCAAGATGTACGTAGTGATACTGGCGATCTGAGTACATAACTGAAGCTCCTCACGTGTTATCGGGGCGTTGCGCGAACACGCTCGGATGGCAGTAGAGGACAGATTCAGTTCAGCTGCTTTAATCAAATGAAATCTATCAAATAGGAAGACATGAAATCGAAACTATTTTAAGACGATCCGTCATACCGTTCTGCAAAGGAAGACAACGCTTGTAGTTGTTGCCATTGTTTCTCTTGACGATCTTGGCCAGATATTAACTCGTTGTTCTTGTTTGTTACGTTCTCACTCCATCCACGATTCAAGACATACACGGATTGAAAGCCGAGTCGAAGCAGCTTTTCTGGAGGATGATAACATAGAGAATCTTCTCCTTGTAACCAGAAAATGTCCATTCGTCCTCCATCAGGAAGCTGTGAACGGACACGCATCATAAAAGCTTCCATTACAGTGGTTAGCGAAGTGTTGCGTAGTTGGAAGGTTTCATACAAATCCACCATTATCCAATCGAGATCTTTCACTGCAAGATGAATCATGCCCAGACGATGTCCAGTACCAATGAATTCGTCTGGGCATAATTTATTTGCTACATAACCAGAATGCGAAGGAGAAATATAGGCAGCTAGCAATTCATGTGTTCCAAGACTGTCAATGTATTGTTTTGCTTCTCGCAATACACTAACATGACCTGCATGAATCGGAGCAAAAGAGCCATTATAGAAACAGATGGCTGGAGTCAGGTTTGTTTGCGGTACTTTTAAATGATGTCGAGGAAGCACAGAGATGTCATTTGCTTCAAGCAGAATCTTGATGTGAGATGAAGGAGTATCCATTGCATTGAAAAACGTGCTTGCAATAAGTATATAATTGCCTTCTCATATGTGTGACCCAGGTGATACGATATGTTGTGTAATTACAGAGCAAAATACTTTTCTCTTTGCAGTGAGTCATACACATCAATTCAAAGGACTTGTTTCTTTCGCAATGAAATGAAAAGAGGGCGGTAATATAAAGGAAAGAGAAACACGTTGTTGCCCTTGGAGAAGAAGGTAGTAAAAGTTGTTCTGTTTACTGTTTAGTTTTCAAACTTTAGTTATATGTATTATCGCTTTTGCCGTTTGATGCAAACTGCATATCTTATCAATCTATACAAAATATGTTCACTTCGCTTTGATTTCTCTGTTTCTGTTATACCTGTATTTTATTCTCTTTCATGATGCTTTACTTTTCATTTCAGTTACAACTTATTCTATCGAGATATTTTTCTCAGAGCGACTTAATGAATTACTATTTCTTAGATATAGTTACTAAAAGTTTAACTTAGATAAATATCCTCATGTTCTCTGAAATCATAGAAATTCTTTACTTCACATTATATGAGTCAGTCATATTTGAAATTAACCAAATATATCAGTTATTCATTCCTTAGTTGTGCCCTTAAAACAAGAGGAGAAATATCCTCTACCTAGAGGAATTTCGTCCGTTCAGATTATCGAAGACAATAAAAAAAAGAATAATGATAACGGATAGTTAACAGTCCGTTCTACGCACATACAGATTAGACTTACATAAAGTGTAGAAATCAATTGAGTTCTGTTTATCTGTAAGTTACTTTCTCTATAGGTTTACAAGTGATAGTGTTACAGGATGGGAATGAAATTGAAACAGAAAAGAAGTCATTATGACAATCTCTCAAGGAACCTTGCAGTATGCGGAATTATCGCCTTCTTTTTAAACAGATGGTTCAATTTAAAAAATTGAACGGGTAAAAATGCGTTAGAATGTACGGCTTTTACATTGTGGTACGTAGTTGTTTTTTATGCGTTACTTTTGAGAATTTTGTCTGCTTAAGTTGTAAGCATTATTCGTGAAAAATAGGCCATGGCATCGTCATATGCGATGATACACTGAAGGACAAAGTCCTTCGGTTTGTCACAACACAGCCTAAGAGCAAACAACTAAGGGTTCTTATCCGGGTCAATCTTTTTGGTGCTCCGATCCGGCCAAAACATATTCAGACTCGTCCGATGAGAAGTAATCGTTTGCCAACATAATGGCGAGCTCAATGTATACAGAACGAATTTTGAATCAAATCTTATCTTCTGACTACACAGAGACTTCTACGATAGCAACTACAAGTCATATGCATCCAATAGAATGAAGCATGCTCTATAAAGTACTATCATTTGATCAACTCGACAAAATTACATGCAGATGATAGTGAAGTCACTACTTTTTATTAGTTTGATTTCATCCTTTGAAGCTGATTCTCGCTCTAGATCAGTACTAAATCAAATAGATATAGATAAAAAACGATCAGCTAAACAGTAACAATTTTTAGAATTTATCGGTAGAACAAGAACTTTTGTCGATAGCGAACATTTGAACTCGATTGTTACCAGTATCGACCACATACAAGTTTCCATCCCGATCAAATGCCAAATCAAAAGGCTGTGATAGTTGAGCTGTCCCATTGCCTTGACCCTGTCCACCGACAATGATACTACCTGATTTGGAACCTTTGAACCAACGCATGATTCGGTGGTTACCCCAATCTGCGACATAGACGGTATCCGATTGGTCGACGATCACTGAAACTGGTCCATGCAATTGATTGACACCATCTCCTTGACCGTTCCCACCAGCTACAACAATGCCTTCTTTAGCGCCGACAGGCCATTTCATCACACGATTGTTAACATCATCGGCAACAAAAACAGTCTGATACCGATTGACGAATAAATGGTCAGGGGATGAGAATTGATCCAGAGCAGCTCCTCGTCCGTTTCCACCAGCAACAACTTGATCATCAGACCATTTTAATACACGATCATTTTCATGATCAGAGACATACAACGATCCTTCGTCGTCCATTGCTAATCCCCAACCTAAGATATTCTGAATTATGGTTTGTCCATGATCATCATTCTTAAACCATCGCTGCACTCGCTTGTTTCGATAATCACAAATAAACATAGTACCATCATTATCAGCAACAATACTTGACACTGCATTTAATTGATCACTGTGATTGCCTCTTCCTTTACCACCGGCTACTAATTGACCACTCGAAACTTCGGGTGCCCATTTAACAACTCGACCATTGAAAGGATCCGCAACATAGACATTAGCATCGTCATCCACAAATAATCCCCAAGGTCGATCAAGTTGGTTCAATGCAGATCCCTGTCCATTACCTCCAGCTACAGTGACGCCATTTGGATTCCATGTTGCATGGATACAAATACCGTCATCAGGCATCGATGATGAATGAGGAACTAAGCGATAAATACTATATCACTTCACAGAAATATGACTACACTTTGATCTTACCGCGAGAAGCATTTCCTGCTGACAAACATACTAGTATTGATAGGATACCATAAACAAAACACCAACGATTCATTCTTGATACGTAATGATAGCTCCCTATGATCAGATGTCGATTAAGTATTGAAATCAAAGTTGATGCAAACAGAAAAGAAAGGTTGTCTGTGATAGAGAATGACTTTAAAATATTATATTTCTCATTTTGTCGCTACTCCATTATATAGTTAAGCCTCAATTTTTAGACGGGATTAGAAAAAGAAATCATAACTAAATGAAAGAAAAAAGTATTAGTTTTCACCTTCTCCATGAAACTATCCAGAACGATAGAAAAACGATTCTGACGATGTTAAAACATGTGTAAACGTGTTTATTTATACAGTTCATATCTTGAACACATTTTTCATAGTTTACTTTCGGAAGTTTCGCTGGTGAACTGTTAAAAATGCGTTATAACAATATTTTTTCGTTGTATTTATCTTACCTGGAATTAATAATATATATAAATTATTAACTATTTCATAAATAACCAGAACATTTTGTGACAATATCATTGCAGAAGCATACATTTCTAACTAACATTCAATGAAATAAATCTTTTCAACACAGAGTATTTTTGTATAATAGGTTAAAACCATACTTTGCCTTCCACATTTTCAATATAATGATTACCTGTCGAAAGATTATTTATTCAAAAACTTCTTCATATTCAAAATTCTCAATAGTATAAAAATTGAGTTTATTCAGCATAGTTTTCGGAAAGTTTCAAATAAACCGTTGAGCAATTCTATTGGCATAAATGCAACGGATGAGTTTTCTGTGAAGATGAATGCGAGCAATTAATATTTCTTTGATATATACGTTATATTATGTTAAATCATATTGTACCAGTCACGTTTTCAGATGTGCCAGCTCATATCTTCAAATAAAACATTCAAGATATTGTTATATTAATGATAGAACCTTCCAGTTTGAATATTATTCCATAATTATTTCTAACGTAATTACCGACTATTTATTTAACAATTATCCCGATCGAATTATGATAAATCAGTGATATGAGAGTGTGGGTGCGGGTGTGGTTATGGATCTGAGTGTAAGTGTGGGCGTCATAAAAGAAAAGAGCCATGCCCACACCCTCGCACAATATCAGAAACGAGACAACAATACAGGTGATGACACAATGCGTTGTCGCATCCCCGTTGAAATGTTCTACGCTAAGATGCCCTTGCAAAATGGTTCCTCATCATAAAATGAACATTTTGAGAATGAAAGACATTTTTTTGGAGGATATTTTAACAGGAAACATTTTCTCGGAGGACGTTTTTTTCAAAAGACAAAAATATCATGGACATTTTTCCAGGGATATTTTAGACTGTTACCAAAAAAAATCGACTCATCCATGAAGAAGCGTCAAACTTTTCACATATCAACTGAAATAAAGAAAATATAGATGGAAGTTGATGTTCTCATCATTTTCGAGCTTTATTGTTAATTATATTCGGTTGTAATTACGCTTATGCAGTAAAGCTAATTATGAAATGCGCAATGAAAGCCAAATATAATTAAAATAAGAAAATTATTGATCATGGATAATTTTGATTGATGTAAAAGATGTGTATAAATAGACGAACAATACAATATATTCAAATATTTCTACGTCCGAGTGAAACGCACACATTATCACAAGTATAAAATTGCAATATGAGTGCTACATACATACAATCACCTATAGTTCTACAAGGACAAAAACTTAGCAATGGGAGAGCCGAAGTGATTTCATAAACGACAACAAACAACTCATGTGTAACTACATGTTGTACAGCAATACCAACTCCAACAACAAGCAGTAACATGTTAAAATAGACAAAATGATTTCGTTATAGAATTGTTGAATATTTATAGCTATTGTTATAGATATTGTTTAGCTGAAAATCAGAATTCTAATGTACGATTCAATAGGATGATGCGCGCCTCTTGATAAAAGATATTTAATTATATGTTGCAGAATAACTTTGACAAAATTTTCTATCGAAATTGTAATTTCGACAAGCAGTGCACCTTCGGCATGGCATATATATTATTATCATGATTAGAAACTAAGAGACAAATAAAAAGAAAAGGTTGAACAATGGAATTTTCATATAGCTCAAAAGAATTAGCAAAAAGAACGAGAAGTAGATACGATTTAGAGGTGGAACATCGTCTTGCTTGTACTTCTTCAATTACTTCCTAGATGTTCTCTTATATACAATAGTTAGGTTTTATATCAAATTGATGTTTTTAACTTAGTTATTCATTTATTATTTTCTTGCATGGTTAATCTTATCTATTAAGTGATGGATGAACATTATACTTCTATGTATGTTTATTTTTTATTCTTTTTATATTTAACAATTGATTTTTAAACAAATACATCAGACATTGATAGTAATAAAAAAAGTGTTTTTGAGCAAACAGTTATTAAATTATTCCTGTAGCATCTGCGAAATTCACTCGTTTCTTTTTACCGACGTCATATTTTTTCTATTTCTAATAGCCTATTGAGGAAATAAAAAGCATCATGTTTTCATGCTAAGGACTCCAGACAAGAATGGAGTTAGGTGAAGTCATGGAGTCTGCCGTTTTCCCCTGGATTTATGTTCTATAACCTTTATTATTTTTCTTAAACAGAGTTTTGGGCTTCGTAAAAGAATCCGATGCTAGGTGTCTTTTACTAGCTTTTTTCGTATTAACTAACAATTGAAGGCCATGCAATGGTAAACTAAGGGGATTGCTCGTAGTCGAATCAAATGAATACTCTCTCACTTATAGACCATCTATTTTAAAACATGAATTGCCCAATAGCGTACACAGATCGAGATGTTTATTTTTCAAGATATCTACAGTTTGTAATGTGTCCACACTACGAAATTTTATCAACACTTAGTTTTCTTTTTTCGTCATGGTTGAATGGAACACGACTATTTACATAAGGAGAAACAATATCACACATAATCAAAAGCAATTTAACAGCAATTAGAGTTTTTTTGTTTATTACCCTTATAATTAAAAAAATGTTGGCCTTGACTTCGTAGAATTTGCTTTTTAATATGTGTGATATTGCTTTTTCTTATGTAAATGGTCCCACTTCATTCAACCATGACGAAAAAAGAAAACTATACGTTGATGAAATTTCGTAGTGTGAACACATAACAAACTGTAAACTTTTTGAAACTCGAATATCTAGGTGTGTGTACTCTATTGGTAGCTCATATTTTTAATTAGTTGATTTGACAGTGAGAGCATTCATCTGATCCGACTATGATCAATCTCCTTCAATTACATTACACGGCCTTTTACTCTAAGCTATATAATGGTTGTATTGTCTTCCTTTACTATGAAATACTTTTGGAAACAAAGTATGACTCGATAAACAAAAAAAAAAACGTGAAGTTCTTTGTACAAGTATGTCAACATGATAGTCCTTGGTTTGCAAAAATTTTCGCTTTCTGATTAGTTTCCGATTTCGGAAAAAAGAATTCTGATTTTTTTTCTAATTTTGACAACAAGAATTTCAAATTTTTAAGTTTTTCATCTAGCGATCCTAGTGAAAATACCAGAAGCAATTCTTTTCTTCATTTTTCACAGAAGGAACAAGCGAAAAATGCTTGTGTGATCCAGACGGAAGAAAAAAAAATAGAGTTACGATCTAATTCAAAAATAAATAAACGATTTTAAAAAAGTAAAATTTCAATGAACAAAAACTTATTAATAAAAATTACAATGAGTAAATCTTCAAATGAAATGAGCAATTGCCCATTGGCCCCTCTCTTAGCTACGTCACTGATTCTAGACTATGAAGTTCTATAAGTAATAAAGCAAATAAAGCGTGATAAAATAACATGGTACGTGGATAGGCTCCAACCGTACTCTGACAGATTGAAAATACATATTTATTCATCAAATAGTTATGAAGTATCAACATATGTCATATGTACTATATACGTCGTCAATGATGGCGAGAAAAGGAAGAGAAGGGCTTCACTTATTGGTGTTGGTTGCTTATATCAGAATAAGTCAGAAAAGAAAATATTAGTGAAGACCGTAGAAGTTATGCATACATTCTGCTTATTGATACTAATGTAACTGATATGTTTTACCAACACAATATACCAATACTTCGCTTATTTGTACAGTTGAAGTACGATATGAGTGAAAACTCGATTTCATCAACTTAGAAAGCAATCGAAAAGACTGTGACAGATAGTCTCTCTCAAACACGTAACTAATAAAAGTCTCTTTTAATTTCAACTGTTTTTCACTTGTCGTTCGTCATTGAGATTCTTGATTTTTCCATCGGATAATACTTAGATAAAAATGACGATTATTTTTTCAGCATGAGAAAATTAATATAATTTGACATGGAGTTGTACATCCATCATTTATATTTTCAATACAACTAAACAATCGTGTTGTAACGTTTGCAGTTTTTTTGAAAAGTATTTTATTAAAAATGAAAAGTTTTACAAAAAACAAACAGGTCGAGTACGGTGCAGCTGGTACTTAGTATAGATGCGAATGAAAAAAAAAGACCAATAACGATACTCATACTCAAACCTTAACCCACACTTACATCCCAATTGAGCGAGCTGTAGTGAAGAGAAATGATTCGTCGAGTTTCTTCTTTCTTGATAAAGACCCACATTGCATACTTGATACATTAATGATAACTATAACGAAAATCGAAGCTTCTTTCATGTACACAGTGCACATTTGTGTAAAAGAAAGCTTGTACCCGATGTATTTTCCATTATTTTGCATGATCCTCAACACTTAACATTATATATCACATTTCCAAACGATTTTTAAATTTACTGATTAAATCATGATGAATCGTTCTGATTCATTGGCGATTATGAGAGATCATTTTTCATTACTAGAATCATTATTTCATATTGACTTTTAGAAAATAGCTCGAATCAATCAGAATCGTACAATATGGAAAAATTCGAAAGAAAGGTAAATCAACTTGATACTGAAGGACGACAAAAGATAGAAAATGATCATGGTGCTGATGTGAAACAGGGTTCCAATACGATAAATCAACAGGAAGCACTCCATTATGACATCCATGCCTGGCGAAAATGTGATTCGACTACAAATCAATGTAATCCTGGCACGTTTCGCAAATTGAGTCAAGGTGAGAAGATTATAATACTGTTATCTAGACTGATAGAACTGCTTAGTTTCTGTTCTGATATGTATTGTTTGAGTCAAGAACGCATATTACACATATGTAATTGTAAGAATGTCTTTTATTAATGGGGTTGAAACTACTGATACAAATCGATTCATTTTAGTAAAAATATGCGGACTTATATATATATATATATATGGAAAGGAGCTTTATGATTTTGTTTCGATCGAGTCATTATAACTCCTCTGTTTCACTTTCCAATTTTAGCCTGTCGCAATCGACTCGTACAAACACCAACGGTCATTGTAAGTTAAAGTTTCTATTTCATTCAACTCACATTTGGAAAACATTATGTTTAAGATGATGGTGGGTTTACCAGCACGTGGCAAAGTGAGATGATTCTCGTATTTTTTAGAACTCGAGCATATGAACTCTATTACATTGTAGACATACATATCTCGAAAATTAGCTCGATATTTGCATTGGATCGGAATCAAAACGAAAGGTTTGTTTTACACTTCTTCTCGAAAATTAATAATCATAATGAATTAATAAAAGAAAAGTACGAATGACCTTTGATCGATTCTATTGATAAAACTCATTAGGGATAGGAGCTGAATGCATTTGTGAATTTTTCTCCGGCGTTTTTTTTATCATGAAATCAGTTTATCTTCTAACATTCTTTTGAAAGCAGGTGCTCTCTTATGCATGTCAAATGACTGTCATCCGATAATCATTCTAGAATCCCTGGAAATTTCTCGCAAGTGTCTCTATTCATGTTGCATGATGTTGCCACCAACATATATACATGCACAGATCATTCATTAGTTTATCGTCATCGTTTCACTAGCCTAAAGTGGTAACAAAATTCGTGAATCTGATTCTTTCGTCAGAAAATAACTACTGAGGAAATTACGATCATTGATAAAATTTTATTAAAAACTTTCATGGTCGGAGATTTCCCATCCGTAACTTGTTTCTCTAAATTGCTGATTCTTGACGCAAGAATCAAATCCGTGAACTTTCGATTATCTCGTAAGTAGTGAAACCTAACGTTTAATTTCCTCCCATAATATTCATCCATGTTCACAAGTGAATACTGGATAACGATCCATAACAATAATCAATGAAACAATTACCACTCGTCTATGTCTACCATTGGATCTGTTTCCATCATCACTGTATCCCTATAAGCATGAATAGAAATTGAGGATTGAAAAAATCTTTGAAGAATTTTCATTTGAAAATGATCATATTTATTTCACTTCGACATATGAAACAGAGAAAATTGTCTATTAACTTAATTATGATTTTGATATGTTATTCATCATTTTTAACTATTCTTCTCTACAAGCCAAAGATTTCTGGAAGAAAATATTCATATAGGATGGAGATTTTACTTTTCCGTTTACAGTATTCAATGTTGGCGATTATCGTCGTGACGCTGTGAAAGGGTATTCAGGGAAGGAATTTTTCGATCCGGACAATGCTGAAGCAGTAGCAATTCGAAAGTAGGCATTTGTTCATATCAGATGCCAGTTCATGTTGAGCAATGTCAATTAAATTTATTCTTATAGCCAATGTGCCCAAAGTGCATTGCAAGATATGTGCAATTTTCTTCAGAACGAAGGTGAAGTAGCTATATTCGATGCAACCAATACGACTCGTGAACGACGTCGTACAATATACACTTATTGTACAGAAACATGTTGTTTTCGTGTATTTTTTGTTGAATCAATTTGTGATTCGCAAGAAGTCATTCAAGCAAATATTCGAGTATGGAATTACAATAAACTTCTTTCTAGTTTTATAAGAATTATTTGAATATGACAGGAAGTAAAACTTAAAAGTCCTGATTACAAAGATGTACCACAAGAAGAAGCTGTCAAAGATTTTCTTTCACGTATTGAACTCTATGAAAAACAATACGAAACAATTGATGATAAGATAGAAGAGAAGCATTATCCATTTATTAAAATTTTTAATTGTGGTGAACGATTTCTTGTTCATCGAATCGGTAGTAAGTATCACAAATTAATAAACTGACATTTCGTCTTTGTTGTATCCATTCTAGGCAATATTCAAAGTCGTGTCCTTTATTTTCTCATGCATATTCATGTTCTTCCGAGAACTATCTATCTCACTATGGTTAGTAAATAGATTCTCTAAATTGATTGAAAAAAAAACTGATTTATTTCAGCATGGCGAATCAGAAATGAATGTTCAACAGCGTATTGGAGGTAATTCATCGTTATCACCAGCTGGCAAAGCAGTATTGATTGTCATTGTTGTTTTAATATTCACCATTGTTTATATATGTTTTATTGTAGTACACTGAAGCTCTTGTCCAATACATCACAAATGGTGAGTCTTTCTAGAGTATTAATTTTGTATTAATTTTCTTGTAAAATAAAATAGAAAAAATTCAAGATTTGATTGTTTGGACAAGTCAAATGGAACAAACGATATCCACAGCAGCAAATATCAATGCTCCCAAGGAGCAATGGAAAGCACTCAATGGAATTCATGCCGTAAGAAGATTTAATTCAAAACAATGCTGATAAACGTATTTTTCCTATTTATCTAGGGCATTTTCGAAGGTTTAACCTATCGAGAAGTAGCTGAAAATTATTCGGAAGAGTTTGCTGCTCGTGGTCGATCAAAATACTACTATCGATATCCGGGAGGAGAGGTAAGTTCTCATTTTTTCCAGTTTCATAGACATACATGAGACTTCTATTCTAATCTAGAAATAAACACTCTCAGTTCGAAATCGAAAACAAATTTATATACCCTCTAATAATAGAAAAATCTCATTGGATACTATCGACTCAAACTATAATATACAAATTTTCATTATGATAATTCATTATTTTAATTACAGTTTGTGGAAGTTAGATGTTGTCGTCTGAGAAGACTTGGACTAGATTGAGTGACTTTTAGTTGCTATAAAATGTATTAAGCAACTATGTTTAGATAAGATTTATTTAAAAAGAAATTTTTGAACTAGAACAGATGTTTCATTAACTTGATTAGTTGATGTTTGAAGAGTTTTCCAGTAATTTCATCAGTTATTTTTTTTTTGTACATAGTCTTACCATGATCTTGTTGCTCGACTCGAACCAGTGATTATGGAATTGGAAAGAGCAGAAAATTTACTTGTTATTACTCATAAATCCGTAATTCGTTGTATTCTTGCATATTTTCTCGATAAAAATCCAGGTACGTAGAAATCATTTCATGAAACATGATTTATGTTATTATCATTGATATGTATTTCAATATAGAACAACTACCTTATATAAAAGTGCCATTGCATACAGTAATTAAATTGACACCGATGGCTTATGGTTGTATGATGGGACGCATACCACTGTCAGTTGAAACTGTAAACACATATCGTAATAAACCGAAGGTAAACATGAATCTAATATAAACATTATTATATTTTCGTTTTCATTTCAATCTAGAATTGTGAACCTAATCGAGCAGTTTCTGAGACACTTAATGAATTTCTTGAAGTACGGTCAGAAATCAAGACTGGTCCAACAACAACCCAGATCATTTACCAGAACGCTGGTACGGCTTTTGAAACAACTGACGCCAAAGGAAATCGAACACAACGTTTGGATAGTATAATTGGTGATGTTATCTGAATAATAGTTTTTCATCGGTTCAAGATAGTGGTATTCAACAAATACCAACAACTAATTAAAGATATTGTTCACCTACTTTTCCATTTTTTACTATATATACATTCAACTATATAACTTGTATCTCTTGTTTATTATGATTTCTTACTATGGCTGTGTGTGGAAAATAACTCTATTGTATATTTAACATGTGATATATAAAATACTTTAAATAGATTTTAAACTTATTCCCTATGTGGAGCGTTGTCGATTTGCAGAGCTTGCTTCAGAAAGATACACTGTTCGATACTATCAAAGAGAGAGAGAGAGAGAGATCATAAACACGAAATAAAAAGAAAAATTCAAAATATGATTTTTTAATGATTTTGTCCCTTGTTGGATATGTCTTGGTGTTCGTTCGAACAGATCCAAGCGGATAATCTATTATATAACATAATTCTAATACAGAAATAAAGCACAAAAATTGATAAAATATTTGACTTGATATTTTGCCAAAGTAGAATTTGCGTATATGGTCGTATATTAGATTTTGTAGAGTAAAATTCCCTATATACACTATTATAGAATATTTTTTCCAGAATAGACATATAGAGGATAGCTTGAGACCGGACAAAAGAGCATCTATCATTATGATATCACCAGAAACATACTTGCGTCGATCAAGCTGAATATATTAATTCTGATGACCTAAGATTCACTTAAGAAGAACAATTTTTGTGCCAGAAACATGGCCACACCATCAGGCAATACTAGTAGTCGTGATATAAATACAACTATTCATTAAATCATCAGCATCTATCAACCAAGAGTATTTTGAGCGAACTAGAGATGATTAGTGGATAATGATCGAAGGAGATTTTGTTTTTTTGGTACGTACTACAAAACTGCTGAAATAGTACATTTTGTCTCTCTGTTCTCTAGAAAAGAGTAAAAGGCTTTTGAAGGAAGCATAGAATGTAGTATGATGTAAATTGATCAAGTATCTCCAATTCCCGGTGTATCGATTATTCGTAAATTCTCTTCTCCAATAGGAAAAAGAAAACTTCAACATTATTGTGTATATGGATTACTATTTTTATTAAAATGTTCATGTTCATTACTTTCTCCAATGTAAATGTTTTTTTCTTTAAAAGTATCATCGTCAGTGAACGAGAATGATGATGGGATTACGACTTGCATTTGATTCCTAGCTGCATCTTCTAATGTATCATTACATAAATAATTCACTAAACCATTAATGAATGTTGTTTTTCCGATACTTGTTTGTTCCAATCTGTATATATAATGTTCACTGTGTATGTGTGTCTGTGCCGGGTCAAAGATCTAAGATTAAAGGTCATATAAGGCTATAAGGGAAGGGCTACAAGGCCTATTATATGGGAGTACACATAGATCAACAAGAGCTATCCTATGGGGGTACTCATGAGTCGCCAAAGGCTATCCTATGGGGGCACCCAAAGGTCGTCAAGGAAGTAAGGCAGTAAGTGGGTAGGTAATAAGGGGTGACGCAATAAGGAGATAAGGCTACAAGAGTAAGAAGTACAGGGTATAAAGAATATAGGGCATAGGGAATATAGAGTATAGGAATTATAGGTAGTATATGGAGTATAAGAGTGTATAAGGACTATAGGAAATGTAAAGAGTGTCTATGTATATAACAAAAAAGCATCCGTGCAGTTTGTACGCAGTCTGACTAGTAATAAAATATTGATATCAATTGACGAATCATTGTTTCTACGGGCTTGTATGGTAGATGTTTCATATCTTCATGCCATATTACTCAATTTCTATTTAATAAAACAATTATTCGTTTAACTGTGTATTTATTTAATTTCGAAAGATTTGAGGATCAAAAAAATATTCTTTTAGTAAAAGAAAATCTTCTCTTAAAATTAAATTTAGATTAAAAAATGTTTCATTTAAAATTGAATTGTTATGCAAGAAAATAGAAATTTTTCTCGCAGTTTTTCATCATGAAAAATGTTTGACACCGATTCGACTTTGGAATGATTATTATCATTGAGAAAAAAAATGCCTCAAATCTTTAGCTGAAGATTTAATTATTTTTATTTTATCGTAGAATGTGCTAAGTTCTTAAATCAAAAAAGATCTTCTCGTTTATAATCATAGAATAGCGAAAATAGTTAGAGAAACTAAATATTTTTTTTTTGATGAATATTTAAAATTAATTTTAATATTCCATATGATTATTTCATAATTAAAACAAAAAGAATCTGCTAAAAAGCAGAGTAAAGTCTGAGTTATATTCTTGATTTACTTATCGTCACTTCGTTCTTCAACTTGAAAAGAATATGAAACGAAGTTGAAATTTATTTGCTTTGCACAATGGAAGCAACCTGAAAGTATACAAGTCTGACTGATGCAAAAAAAAAATAAAAAAATAACTTCTATGACAATCGTTTTTATCGAGAATGCATGTCATAGAAAGGAAAAAAAACAACAGACATTCCGAAGTGTAATATATTGAGGTATGATGGAGTTTGTTCTAATAGGATGTGGCTGAAGTACAGATAAACACTCATACCCAATGCAATGCCGACACTCCATACACTCATCCAATAAAAAAAAACCTATAAAAGTATCGGCTTTTTCGTAATCGATTTATGTAATCATTGTATCTTCGTTTGAAATTTCTAAAAAAAATCTTCTTAATATGCTACTGAGTTGAGTTAATTCTCATTTCATCGAACTAATAGTTCATTCATATGCAATTTTATTTCTAAAAATTAAAAAAAACTTTTCAATCAACGATATAAATGCACTGAGAGTATGACGGAATTTTCTAAGCATCGTTAAAATCTTTATTATTTTCATATAACAAGTCACTGTATTGCTCTATCTATATGTTATCTGAATAGTAATGATAAATATCCTTAGATTTTTGAAGAAATTCGAAATTAAATGAACTATCTATTCAAATAAACTATGATTATTTTACTAAACGAAATACTTTATCTTTTCTAGGTAAAAGATTTCTTAGAAATTATCTCATCTTTCCATGATTGTCTTATCAAGAGAAAGTTTCTTTTTAAATCAATAATTGATCATGTTTTCATCAATAAGTTACACTCAATAAGAAGAAAAGCGACTTTCTCAGATTACTATTATGTAGCAAATGGAGCAGAGAAGAACGTATGTATCACGAAATCAGAATTCAATAAAAAACATCGATTTTTGATAAACTCACATGCATATATACGTGTTTGATTGCTGTAAAAGAGAAAAAAATAGAGAAAAACAACAGCTTGTATCATTTAACATACAACAAAAAGAATAAAAGAACATTAGTGTTTCGGTTCGATTAATAGGCATACACTACTGCTGGTGCCATGATAATAAAAGTCTATATTCATAGCAAAATTTTCATAATACAATTGTAAAAGAGTAACAAGTGTATATTAATTCAATAATAGAGTAGCAAGTGCGGAATATTTGAATTTACAAAAATATCAAATGCACGAAACATAGATAACCAAGTTTGATTTTTTTCGACAAGTAGGTAAACAACGATATTATTATGATTGAGTTATCTTATAACACGAGATTAGAACAGAAAGGTATCACGATGCATTAACTAAGGAGGAGAATGATAGAAGAATAACAGTACAAGTAATTCGATATCATTTGATCACTATAACTCGGTTGATTTCATCTTTCATTTTGATAGTCTAAAATTGATTCGACGACATCAATCAAAATAAACATGTTCAACGAACAGTCAAAACTTGTCAATAATGAACTCATTGGCAGTGCTCTACATTCTATCAGAAGAAATTTTATTATGATGGCCGTGGCATTTGTTCTTGTTTATACTTCCTACAATGGTATTATTAATTTACAATCAAGTATCAATATTGACCAAAATGTCGGTCTCTATGCATTGGCCATTAACGCTGCATCATCCATTTTTTCATGTTTTTTCTTAACAAATCCTCTGATGTTCTTTGCCGGCTATAAATGGACTATATTTCTCTCACAAATTATATTTCTTGTTTTCACTGCTATTAATATATATCCGAAAGCATGGCTTCTCTATCCAGGTATATTTTAAAATATGTATAAATGATACAAATAATGATCTCTTTAGTATCGGCTCTTTGTGGTCTTGCTCGAGCTGCAATGGGAACCGCTCAATGTTCCTATGTTACAATTTTAGGCAGAGACAACGCAGATATGGTTGGTTGTGATAGAGAGTCTATGGTTAAAAAATATTTTGCTATCTTTTTTTCTATACTTCAAAGCAGTAAGATAACATTTTTCAGTTTGTCTTCGAAAGTTTCGTCTGATTTCAAGGTCAAATTTGGGGCAATTTTATTGCCTATCATTTCTTACAACATAATTTGGGTGATGTTATTCCAAGAGATGTTGACTTATGTGGTGCTAACTATTCGGATAGTTGAAATGATTCATTTCTACGCCATGGCAATCCAATATCGTTTGAAATAGTGAGGATCTTGAGAAGAAAATATTTCTAGTTTATATACATTTGTTCTATATACTATAGATTACAAACTTGTATGCAACTTTCATAGTTTTGGTTATGATTTCATTGATTCTTATTGTTATTATGCTTGATCAAAAGCGACATACAAAAAGTAAGTATATTGAAAGTTATTTTTTCTAATTATTTTGAATGATCTTCCAGTACTTGATTCAAGAGGACTTATTTACGAATCATTTCAATCCATTACAGCAACATTAAGACAAATGAAAAATTTCAAACAAATACTTCTTATTCCTTTACCATTTTGGGTTGGTACTTCAGAAACTTTTCTTTTTGGTGTTTTCACAAATGTAAGTTCATAGATTTTATTCAGTAAAATTCAAGAAGATTTAATCTTTAGAGTTTTATTACTTGTTCGATGGGTGTTGAATATGTCGGTAAAGTTATCATCTATAATGAACATTTCTTTTGATTTTATAATCGATCAAAATAGGTCTGATTATGTTTGGCTTTGGTATAACTGCTTGCATTTTTAGTTTGATTGTTGGTTATGTAGTTAAATTTGAACATCGTTTACAATGGTTTTTATTAGCTTTTTTGGCGTATTATGTTTTATTAATTACTATGCTTGTATGGAGACCACTTGCATCAGATATATACATCTCATACATTATAGTCGGTGTTAGTGGAATAACAAGTGCTCTGTGGGGTTCTGTTATGCCAGGTAAACATATTCTCTATAATGGAAAATGTATCAATAGTCTGTTCGAAAAACATTTTTCAATCAAAATGAATATTTCTTTCGTTTTTCGGCTATATGAAGTCAAGATAAGATCATGAAGATTTAACTCTTTGAAAACTTTGTATCTTTACTAAAATAGATTTATGAATATAAAATCAGTTTAAATATAAAGTTAACTGAACAGATTCTTTGATGAATATACTTAATTATTTACTGATTTTAGCTATATATGGATATTTCTTTCCGACAAACGAGGATGCTGCTTTTTCAAATTTAGTCTTAAGTCAAAATACAGGTAATTTTGTGGTATTTCTCTATGGTGTCGTGTTCGAACATCAATTATTTTCCAAATTATCTATCTTACATTAGCAACATTCTGTTATCTTATTGTGGAGATCTGGAATCTTGGCGAAAAAGTAGCAACATCACCTTTGCCTGATATTAAGATGAATATGAACGAAAGCAAATGAAATATAGACAAAATTTATTTCTAATTCAGCGTGAAATAACAAAATAATTTTCGTTTTTTTTCTTTTAAATAAATTTTCGTTTTCACTATAACTCAAACTGAAATGTTGAGTTTGAAATGGATAAAATTATCGTAAAATTTTCTCTTAGAAAAAAAAATTTATAATCGGAATACAGCTTTATAAATCAGATGAACTAATTCAGTTACACTAGAATTTTCAAGATAGAGTCACATAAAACACCATAAATAAAAATTGTCATGTACAATCAATTATAACAACATACGATGTAAAAGAAATGGCACAAATATCGATCCGTCTTTCTCTTCGATAAAAGAGTGCTGACTGAAAAGTTTTTTTTTCTACTAAAAGATAGAGCCTTTTCCCTTCTTTCGAAACATATACAACTTACTTTTAGAACATATTCGTAAACGAAACGACGCAACAGAAAACAGAAACTTCCTAAGAAAAAAGAATCTGCACTTTTTTATAAAAGGATCGCATAAAATATCGATCCTCATATTTCTTCGATAAACAGATTCTGAAAAAAAGATTTTTTTTTTATCAATTAATAGAAAATGTTCTCCTCTTTCGAGAAGTATATATGATCCATATTTGTCACCTATTAATAAATGAAGCGAGACGAGAAAAAGAAAAAAACATCTTGTAGATGATAATTAATTATAACAAACTGTTGTTTTACAAGATGTTTTTACTGGATCCACAGAAATCGAATTAATTACTGTCTAACGAGATGTCTTTGACAATTTCATGTAAAAATTACGAATTTATTGTGCGAGTGATTCTCTTTTTCTCTTCTATTATTTCGTTTATGAAAGTATGAGCCCTATAAATCATATATTGTTTGAAAGAGGAGAAAATTTCCTATCAACTGATAAAAAAAGAATATTCTTTTCAGAACGTATTTGTCGAGCAGATATAAGGATCAACATTTTGCGACGTTCTTCTAGATCTGACAAAAAGTGTGAATGCTTTCTAATGATTCTTCTCTTTTCTGTTTCGTTGTTTTATCTGTGAACATGTTATGTACGATTAGAAAGAGAAGAAAACACTCTATCTTTTGGTAACATAGGTTTTCTTCCAGCACCTTTTTAATAGAGACATATAGGGATCGACATTTGTACCGTTGCTTTTGCATTGTACGTTCTTTATTATAGACTGTTCTTTATCTACGTATTATTATTTCCGCTACTATTTGTAGGCTTTGACAATATTTTGTGGACTTCGTTATCATTTAATACTTTGACGAATCCTCAAAAGCATATACGTAGATATTCGAAAAACTACTGAAGTTCACGGATGTCCAAGAAAAATCAGATCATAAAAGTTCCTTCGAATCATGTGAAACATCATAAAACTACAGGGAATCTATTTGAATTTTGTAAAACTCTTAGAATTGATTTAAATATACTTCAAATAATAAAACATGAAAAACATGCTGCTTTTTTCTTGACAGTAATTTGTAAATTTCGCAACTATCTTCTGATGCAATACATACCATTATCATGAAAACGATTGTGTCATTCACTCGGATTCAGAGGCTATCAATCGGAACAGCCATTCATTTGACTATTTATTGAAACTTCTTGATTCTATTATACATTTTGCACTAAGATTTATTATTTTTACTATCCTATATACTAAGTCAAGAAACAATTGATCTATCTATGATCTTTTCCTTTCTTATCTGTCATTGAATCTTTGATAGTTCACTGCAAATATGATTTGCAATTTGGCAACATCTATATTTTCTTCTTCTTCTCATTGTTGGATGGACATGTTCTCTGAAGAAATCTGAATATATTTCATATGTGAAATTATTAGACAATCCCTATGAAATAGTGTTCTCTTCGTCTACAGCTACTAATTATCCGACGAACAGACGTACATTTTCATTACAAATGACTCAAATTAACAAGTTTGGCTTACCGAAGTGTGCAAAACATCCTTAGAAAAAAAATCAATGCTTTTTTCTTCTAAAGCTTATGATATTTTCGTACGCAATCAGAATATCATAAGAAAAATAGTGAACAGTACTCTAACTATTCATTTGCAATTTCGAAGAAAATGCCATCATTTAATGTAGAGAGTATTATGTTTAAGAGGTCTTCAAACTTCGACAATCATTAAAATCTTAATGTAACATGTTTTGATGTAGAGTAGTTGCGAATACAAGACAGGAATAAGCAAAATATTTTGCTCTATCAGAATCTCTACTTTATATGACTGTTACAAGAATTAGCTTCACCTAAAATGAGCAGTGTTCACTATTCATTCAATTTGTGATCGAACCAAAATGTAGAGTTTCGATTGTGGTTACTAGAATGATGATTTCTCTCGAGAAAATATTCGATTAAACACATTGACGAATTTCTCAAATGAAATTTTGAAACTGACTTTTTTTTAATTAGACTGCATTATGTGACAGTACCTGAAAACCTTGTCAATGTAGGTTTTGATGAAGTCAAAATGTAAAATTCACGTAAAGATGTAGGTGTGACACATTCACAACCATATTTATCAGTCACTTCACATCTACAGAATTTAACTACTTCCTGAACAACACACACTTACATTGGAGAGAGAACAAAGAAAGAGATATCAACAGATAATACACTGACGGACATTAAATATGCAAAACAAAGATAGATTAATAAGAGGTGATGTCAATATCGGCCGACAACTGTGAACAAAGAATCATCTAACTATAAAAATGCATTACCATATCGCATACTGACATATCTATATCCAAACAAGATTTCTGTTTCTTTCTTTCATCATTAATTTTTTGACAAGTCAAAATATCAATTTCTTCCATTATGGGAGCAACAAGAGTAAGTATTTTCAATGCTAAATTTTTTTTATTGCTTTTTAAATGTTACCAAATATTTTACTTTGACCAAGTAACTCTAAAAAAAGGACTATGAATCTATTTGGATATTAATACATTCATTCATCGGATTCTAATTATGAATCTTTGATATTTTAATGCAGGAATTTAGTGTATTTTCTCGAAGTCAGAAGATTTCCATAGCATAGCCTATTTGGTTTCTCGAAATCTGTTGATACAGTTATTAGAATATTGTTAATTGAAATAGTATAATCTTATCCTTTGACATTCAATTGAGATATATAGGACTACAGATTTGCTATTCGTATTGGAAAGGTTAATGATCATGAATTTTATGTGTTTTGACTTTCTAAAAACTTGTATGTATGATTTTATCTAATTTATACTCTTCTCGATAGATTCAATCTAAATCCAAAGATATCCTATATAAAGGATTTGATATATTTGTTGTTAAAGATTCTATAAAAATAGTCTGCTGACACAAACCAACTGATTCTACTGCATTTACAATGGATAAAATTCTATAAAAGCATGCTATAATATTGTTCATAGTTATCGAAACCTAATTCTTGAAGGTTTTTATGTTCAGAATCAAACAATCGTTAAAGACAAGTTATGATAATTTTGTGCATTGGATTTCGTACCGATATTCATTATTTTTACTTATTCTTTCATCCTCCATGATTTATTAAACTTTGATATATTATTTGATGTTGAAAATCTTAAATTCATCTACTACTTACGAGTAGTAATATTCCTGTCATAAAATTGTTAATCAGCATTGAAAAAGCCGATTCTGCACTGACAGTTGTAATGGATGAAATTTTCTTAAACATGCTACATAACTGTAAAAAGTAGTAGAATACAGCAGTTCTTTGCATTAATTTCCTTTGATTCTACTTTATTTTTAAAAGCAGTGATCTGTCTTTTTGTTTATAAATTACTTTGTATATTTGCTGATCCTTATTCATGTTTGCAAGAAACATGAAAATCGTGAAATAAGAATTCATATTTATAACTATAATATTACTTTTTTTTCATTAAAAATTTAAATTATTACCATTGAAGATGTATCCCAATCTTATTATTAAGCTTATGTATGACAAATTTTTCATATTCTATTTTACTTCTTTTTAGAAAATGCCACAACGTATTCTTCAGCGACAATCGATAATACAGATTGCAGAGAAACAACAAGAGATTACAGAACAACAACAACAAATTATACGAGAACAACAACAAATCACACAACAACAACGACAAATCTCACAACGACTACAGACACAGATTGTACTGGAACAACAACAGGCACAGATTGTATTGAAACAACAACAGGAACAAATTAGACAACAACAACAAAAAATTGTATGTCAACAACAGCAAATTGCAAAGCATCAACAGCAATTTATGCAGCAACAAATTACAGAGCAATATCAATATATTGTACAGCAACAACAACAAATCGCACAACAACAAGAAGTAATTGCACAGCGACAACAAGAACTTTCAGAACAACAACAGAAATTTGCACAATTCCTAGAAAAAAAATGTACAAATACAACAACAACATATGATAGAAATATTCGATATTGTTGGTTGTATGCTTAAAAAAATGATCGATCAAATACAAAAAACAATTTAAATTTTCTATGTCTGAATCTAAATGTTTCGTCTTTTTTTTTCACTTACACTATCATCTCTTAGTATTTTGAAATCGATTTTGGTTTATTGAGTGTAAATATACATAGGAAAAATACGAAAAATGATTTGAAAATAAGTTTCTAAAATTTTTACAAGAAGTCAAATAGTTTGGTCATCTGAGGTATGTTCAGATTTCCGAAAAAAGAAGTTTCCGAAAATACCAAAATTTCTCCTATATCATTTAAAAGCATATATCTGCGTAATCACAGAGGTTTCGCAGAAATTTTTGTAATTACACCACTACATTAGAAAGAAATTTCCGAATTTTCACATAACTTTCAAGAAAATTTCCTAGAAACTTCGGTAATTCCTCATATCATAGAAGGGAAATTATAAGATAATTTCCGCAAATACCACCTATCCAAAAAGGAAATTTATCAGTAATTACGGAAAAAACGAACACATATAGACGAAACTGCAAGGAAATTTCCGGAATTAACTAGTTCTCATGAAGAAATTTCTACAGGAAATTCTCAGAAATTTCGGTAATGACTAGGAAATTTCTATAAATTCCAAAAATTACGGTATATAACTATAATAAAACACATATATAGATTTAAAGAACCCTACCACAAAATACACGAAGAATTTATGGTAATTTCGAAAATTACCTAGAAATTTTAGTAATTACGGAAATTTCTATAATATTATTATACCGATATGATAATATGAATATAGACTTAAAGAACTCTACCCCAAAAAAATAGAAGAATTTATCGTAATTTCAGAAATTACCTAGTAATTTCAGTAATTACGAAAATTTCTATAATTTCTACAATATTATAATGTGGATATGATAATGCAAACAGATTTAAAGAGCCCTACCCCAAAAAACTAGAAGAATTTATAGTAATTACGGAAATTACCATAAATTCTTCTGTTTTTTGGGGATAGGATTCTTTAAATCCATATCTAAATTTCCTTTTTGGATAGGTGGTATTTGCAGAAGTTATCTTATAATTTTCCTTCTATGGTATGAGTAGTTACCGAAATTTACAGATTTAAGAAGGAGATTTCCTTTTTTGGAAATCTGCCCACTGCTGGGTGTCCGTCGCGTGAATTTCTACCCACACTCACATCATCCACCAATATTTTTCAAACTTATTCGGATCAAAAAAATCTTGGTGTCTCCATCTACCATTTAAGTAAAAACAAGTTAATCAAGCTAAATAAAATAACAAAGATATTCAAAAAAACTTTTAGCAAGGGACTTTTGGAACACACTGTAGATGGTTTCATTCTATAAATTAAAAGACAAAAGGTTTTTTCCAATTATATTTATAAGACAACATATATATATCACTAATTCTCAAAATGAATCACTGCATAAAATTATTCATCCTGTTGGTAGAAATGATTCATTGTTCTTTTCCATTGATAACATAGAAGTAAAAATGACTAAAGAACGAATCTGGAATTTCCAACCTCATCGCCCTATATATATATTTATGTTTCGAAAGCAGACATGGTTCACACGTTATAAGAAATGCAAATATTTACTCAAACATATCAACTTAACCATCGATGTGCGCCTTGGCGTACATTTCGTTATACAATCAATGACAATGACAAGCCTCTTTATCAAGTTCGTCGATCTCGTTTTCGAAAATATCGACGATTTGAAGATGTAAATGGTAAAATTCTTTTTAACATTGATGTAACAACAATTAAATCACATGAAAATGATGAAACTCTTGCTAATATGCAAACTGATAAAAAAGTAATCGATACAATCATCGGCAATTTTACACTTACCAATGTAGATCTATCTCAACGAAATTATATTTTAAAAATAAATGATAACATCGTAGTACAAGTTGAAAAAAAAGACAGTTTAATGCTTCGTCAACATATTATTCATATGATAGATATCAATGTAAAATATCAAGCATTTCTTTTTGCACTTCTTGTACTTATCGATTCTGTTTTTGAACGAATACTGAATAATAATATGTATCCAAGTCCGATGTACACACATATTCCTGTCAGATCATGGAAATTTTGTAGTGAACATAAAAATGATTCTTACCGTGAAAATAATCTTCTTAGTTATCGTAGTTAAATGAATTCATTGTGAAAGTTGTTTTTACTTTTTTCAAAAATAAACTTCATTACATTTTCCATCTAAGACAAAAAATGTAAAACTAACTTGTCCAATAAAATTTTTTGAAATGAAAAGTTTAAATTTAAGAATAAATATCATCATGAGAATCAAATGATGTGCGTATAATTTCTTGATAGTAATTTTTTTACTTTGTATGATATTTATTCAAATGCATAATGGTATTAGAAAGTTCGGAACTCTAGCTGATACTGTTTTCTGAAAAATATTCTAGATTTTTATATTTTCCAAAGACTCATTCAGCGTTATTTTTTCTCTCAGAATAAAAGACTTATGTTTAAGTTTGTAGGCTATACATATGTGTATGACGTAGTGACTCAATCGATTTCCCACTGATCACTATTCGTGTATGTCGAAATTTCCTTCTTCACTGTATATGTGTATACATGTGTGATCACGCTGGTGATGATGTGGTGGTGCTTGTTCTTTTTCAGATTCTGTCTCTTCATGTAACTGAGTTACTGTCTC